ATATTACAACTATTGTATATGGTAGTCAACTAAAAAAATGAGTGTTAATTTACGTTATCAAATTAGTCCATTTTAACAAAAACAACTCACATAGACATATTTTTGTTAGAGATCACATAATCAAATAACGTGTCACATACATATCTATCTAAGTCTATTAATGTTAACTGGGTATATTGATGAAGGAGTGACATAGGTTAGTACGTAATTAAGGACTATCAAAGAAGGGGCCGTGTTTTTAATATTAATGAAGTGAGACATTGAATTGAAGGCAAACAATAGTTTCGATTATTAATTTGACCATTTACTTGATATTTTTTTCTCTTGTATTAATCTCCCCACTATTTACAAAAAAAAATGAGGAAAATTTATTTTTTACAACAAGGCTAATTCACTTTATTAATTAGACTAACAAAGTGAGACGGGGTGTGTCAGTGAATTTGTCACTAAAAAATGACATGTAGTGAAACATTATTTATCATAAAAAAATTATTTTTATTTTTATTATAAATATCATATATACTGATATATTGTTAAAAAATATAAATATAAATTATAGTGATACGTAAAAATATGTTATTAAATTTTATTTAAAATTAATATTTAAAATTAAATTATATTAAATTATATGTAATTATATGTAATTATATGTAAAATAAATTTATACTATGTAGTATTTATAATGATATTTTTTATATAAAATTATATATAATATTTGTTGTACCGTATGAAGGTTGTTTGTAAAAAGAAAAGGAAAATAAAAAGGGGACCGGTGTCAGGTGAGCCAGGAAAAATTATCATTTAAACAATTTATCTCCCAGGAGTCAAAAGTGAGATACTAAGAAATACCTAAGAAGTTTTGGGTCAATTTTTTTTTTTTTAATGAGTTTAAGGCATCAAACAAATACAATAAAACTTTAGTAACTTTTTGTCACTAGATCAATCAAGGACAACGTACTTAAGACATTGAGACCTTAAGAATTATTTTAGGAAACAAAATGAACAATTAGGATGGTCAAAGGTTAAGGTATAACAACCAACTTGTGTTTTTAATTCAAAAGATTAAAATTTTAGAAATAATGAGATTGAATAATAATTTTGTAAAGGCATTTTCCAAGTTTTAGATAAAACATTGTCCTTAGTTTGACAACTTTGACTCAGAATGAGCTCAAATGTATTTAAGTCCATCTTACTCTTAGTTAATAATTTAATTGACTATGCCTATCACTAATATATCCCAGTCCCTTGTTTATCCATCCATAATATCAAATCTTGAATAAAGAAAAATAAATTTTAAAAAAAATAATCAATTAAAACAAAAGATTCCTTTTAAATATAAGCTTTATTTTAATTAAAGTTATTTCTTTTATTAAAATTCTTAATTGAGAGCTATGATACTTGATTATTTAAAATAATTAATTACGTATAAACTCCTTTTATTTTAATAAAAAAAAATACCAAAACTTAGAATCAGTTTAGTTTAACCTTTGGTTTAAGATATTGTAGCCAATCAATGTGAGAAAATGAGTAATTATAAACTTATATTTTATTATTAATAATTATAAAGAAGATAAATTTAAACATTGAATAATTATAATATTAATAATTTCAAAAGTACAATCAAATTAATTATCTTTTCTAATTTAAAGAAAAGAATTGTTATAAGCAACAAGTTCGACTTTAAAAAAATATTCAACCTTAATACAGAAACATGTATATCCTTTTTAAATACTACTAAATACCTTTTGTATTTTAGAAATAATGTTTCTCAAGTTTTTGAAACATAATTAGAATAACATAAACACAAAAAATACATATATTCCATTATTACTAGTTTTAAATCATGAAAAATACATGAAAAATGTTTGTGAAATACAAGATCAAGCATGAGCAAGTATCAATCCCTAATTTAGAACATAATAGTTGATTACGATTTGGTTTCCTAGATTAAGGGTGACAAATGAATCTATTTATCTATTATTCATCTGATCTATTAACAAGTAAATTTATGCAATCCATTTATTATAATAAAAAAAATAATGGATTGGGTTCAATCCATCCATTTAACTTTATGTATGATTAGTTATCCATCTACTATTTTTTTTTCAAAATTCATTGGATTTTATTAAATTAAGATTTTCAAAAATTATTTTGACATAAAAAAGTCTTATGAATTTTAAAATACTATATATAAAAATGTAATTACTTATAAAGAAAAGAAAAATAAAATATTTCAAAATAAAAATTATTTAATTTTAAAATATTATTTTATAGATGGATCAGATATCCATCCATAAAAAATTTGTTAATGGATGAATTGGATGAATTTTTTGCTCTAAATGGATTGAATAGTTTAAATTTTTATTTCAATTTTTAATGAATCTAAATAAATTAATAAATTATTTTTATCTAATCTATTATGATTCACTTAAAAAATTATCCGATCCACTCATTTATCATTTTTATCTTAGATCAAACCTTAAAATATTATAACTAAAGTACAATATAGTCAATTAAATAAATGAATGTTATAAATTAATATTATTAAACTAATCTCTCTTAACAACACATGTAACATGGATATTTTTGTTAAATGTCACATCATCAAATAACGTGTTAACGTTACATACATGTCTAAACCTATTATTGTTCATAGAGTATAGACGACCAAGGAAAAAGAACATGAGTAAAATATACCGATAAATATGGGAGCGTTCTTTTTTAATATTAATGAAGTAAGAGATAGAATCAAAAGCGAGTGACAGTTCAAGAATTAATTTGACCATTTATTCGATATTTCTTTCTCTTGTATTAATGTTTATCACTTTTATATCATTATTGATATTATTATTAGAGTTAATCTCATACATTATTAGTATAGAATATTTTTATACTGACAATCAATCATATCTTTTAATAGTGTCATGTCATTTACTTATTTAATCAAATAAAAATAAAATAATTTAAAAGTTTTGATTGATTGTCAGTGTAAAAAATTTTACACTAACAATGTACGGATGATTAACTCTTATTATTATGGTTAAATACGTTTTTGGTAAAGTATCATAATATTGTATGATTTAATTTTCTCAAATTTTAATCTAACAATTTTAATCTATTAATCTCACATTTGTGTCATTTTGTTCCATCAATTTTAGCTAAACAATTTTAGTTATTTCAAGTATCACAATTGTGTAATTTTTATGAGATTTTTTAATGTAGAAAACCTTATATGTGACATGGATATTAGCCGTACCAGAATTAGTGAGAGAGACAACAGGTTCTTGCTTTATTAGGCTAATTCAAATCCGAAGCTCACTCCAAATTATAAAAAAGTATAGCTTCTCCTGAGAGGTCAAATGCAAGCTTGGGCGGATTTAGCCAAATTTTCTGATTTTGGGAGAGATAAGAGTGAGAACCGAGAAATCATGTGCTTGTGCAGTAATAGAATCGCCGAAGGGAGCATATAGACAAAAGTCATAAACATGTCTGTATATGGGAGGGGTATATGGCTATATAAAGTCTTTTCTTACTGTCTGATAAGCCTAAACTATGACCAAGGTTTTCATTACATAGTGCCATAGTGGACAGTGGACCACAGATGAAGCACGCAGCTTTAACTGATGCTTAAGCCCCCAAAACAAGCAAAGAAAGCATCTTCAACGTGACTTTGTGATAGCTAAACTTTGGACTCCTTAACAAGTAAACTGTTCACAAAAGCATGTCCTGCTACTATACATGAAACATATCAGAACCTCTAAAGAGTGGAATTAGGAAAGGTTCCAAATTAAGCACATTTCTCCATCATACCCTAAGTACTCAACTAGGCCCCCTCCTTTAGCGTACACACACATTAAAGCCTTGCCATTAGTTGCCTCTTATTAATTAACTTGCATATATGCAACATTGTTTAAAGTTTATCAAGCGCTCCAAATGTAGCAAGTCGAATCTCCGTATGCTAATGGATTATTAGATTATCCCCAAGTATATGATTCTCTCAGTGACGAGTAGTAGTTGAAGAGTTGCAGAAAAAAGTTGCATCCCTCTTTTAATAGTACGCCCTCGATCTAGTGTGATCAAATCTATATATATTTATGCACACACATTTTACCTTCTTGCTGGAGTGACAGCGTAAAGCTTTATCGTTTTCTAAAAAGGCAGTGTTGGTTAAAACAAAGATAAAGATAAAGATTTGAGTTTGGTAATCTTTCTTCCCCGATTAAGTTCACGTCGAGAACTCATTGACTCATACAAACTTTTGGCCCTGGTTCAACCCCCTCGAGACGGATTACGCTAATAATTAATTAATTATGTGTATTAATTAGATATTTTCTTACTCGCGTAAACAGCGAGCAGAGAAAAACCATCAAATAATTAACACCCATGTATGCGAGAACAGAAACCCGGCGAGTTAATCAGTATATTATATAATATTAATTAGTTGATATTAGCTTAATTCCTTAGAATAAAAAAAAAAGAAAAAAAAAAAAGGGAAATGACGAATACAAGGTTGTGTAAAATCGAAAATGCATGAAGGAGTAATGGCCGTAGCAGCCACTTGATTCAGAATTCCCCTCCTTTTTTCAGTGCGTGGGAGGAGCTGAAAAGGTTTGCGCACTTTGCAGTTAGCAGAAGAAAGTGAAAAACCCAGAGACAAGCTTAGACGTATAGAAAGACATGAAAAACGGAAAATGCAGGTGGGAACGCGTTGTTGGTACCGAGAAAGTTCCTGCTTCCAACAACTGTCTTAGGATATAGCATATGAGATTCAGAATATCGACAAACAAAATTAAAAGCAATCTATTTTCCATCGTCATTCGTCACCATCGGCATCATTCACGCACTCAACCAAAACCCGATCCCTCCTCTCTCAACCCGACATCATCGACGCAACAATGTCCAAAACACGCGACCACGCCACACGGTTTTCATCAGAAACATGCATAAACAATAAAAACAATAATAATAATAATAATAATAATAAAAAACCGTTAACCAAATAAAATAAACCAGTCCATCAACAACAATGCTGTTCGAATTACACTGGAGTCTGAAACATTAAAACAACATAGGAATCCCTTCTCCCATTTTATACGAAATGAAAATGACAAAGAAAAATGAAAATAAACCCTAAGAATTAAGACCCTGATAAAGTAAACTAGCACTAGCAGAGTTGAGACCAACGCGATTTCCAGGCCTGGACGTTGAGGTTGCAGCTTGGAATGGTGGCTGTGATAGTAACTAGATAGAAAGATGGAAACATATATAGATATATAAAGGGAGGGGGAGGGGGAGGGGGAGAGGGAGAAGGGTATGGGCTTGGGTTTTTATTTCTAGGGCTTCTTACCAAGGGTGTGCTTGTTGTTATGCATCCAAACCTTAAGCACGTGACGCTGAACGCCAGTTTCGGAGCAGAACTCCTGAACGACGTTCTCGTCGTGCTTCTGAATCCTCCAGCCCAATTTCTCAGCGAAGCCCAGCATCTTGTCCTTCTGCTCCTGGGTGAACTTGGTCCTGAACCTCTTCTTGGGCCCACCACCGCCACATGGGTCCGAAACATCCTCCTGGTCCTCCCTCGGGCTCTGGGCCCCACCGCCAGCACCTGACGTGGACGGGAGCGCCAGCGTGGCGGGCCCACCACGCTGCTGCTGACCCGCCACGTGCAGGTACCCCGCCGGCGCACGGTAGTACGCCGAGAAGTGCGGCGGCTGGTGGCGGCGCTGCTGGAAAGGCATTAGGTACGGGCCCTCACCGCCCTCCTTGCGGTGGAAGTTGCGGTGGCAGTTGCAGGCGGCGCATTTGAGAGCGTCCAGAGTGCCCTCCGAGCCCGCCGCCATGAACTCGCCGCAGCCGTCGAGCGCGTGGCCTCCGATCCCCACCGCGTGGTTCTTGAGGCACTCCTTGTACCTCCCCTTGCCGCTGTTGCGGGCCATGGGTGGGCTCGGGGTCACCGCCGTCACGGGCTCCTCCTCGCCGTGACTCGGCACTTTCACTCTGCCCGGGTGGAAGGCCGAGTCTTCGTAACTCGCTGCGGCCATCGCCAGCTCAGTTTCCTCTTGCTCCTCGAATTCCATTTTCTCAGTGAGAGAGTTGTTGAATGGGTGAGATCGAAGTGGGTGATGGGTGATCGAGCTTAAGTAGAGCGTTCAAGAGGAAACAAACAAAGGAAGTAATGAACCCACTCTCTCTCTCTCTCGTTCACTTCGCTACCATAGCAGTTTCTTACTCTTTTTCCGGTTCTCTGTTTTCCCCCTGAATATCATCCCTCTTTCTCTCGCCACTCTCAATTCTCGATCCTTGTCTTCCACCGGCTAAAACCAGTTACCTCGGTAATTTTTTTTTACCGGAGCTTAATGTTTCTTAGAGGAGACTTAAATTTCTTATTGGTCCAAAACCTTAATACAACTTCATTTGTATCCACCAGTCACCACTAATGATGATTGATAAGATGTGCTCGTTCTTGTTAAAAATCAACAATTTTTTATACAAAAAAAAACAATCTTAAATAATAAATACAATGATTATTGAAGATTTAAAGATATTAAATATGTGTAATCAAAATAAATTTAATTTAACTACAGTTGTGTATAATGATTTTTTATATAGGAATATATGTATGTTAAAATTGCTAACTTTTTTAATAATAAATTTAATTTAAATTTTTTTAATTAATTAAAAATATTACATTTGACATGCACAAAAATTAAAACTCAATAAAGATTACTTCCAAGCCTACTTCAAGTATTTTTTTTTCTTCATCTCAACACTTTTTTCTTTATTATTTTTCTCTACTTTTCTTGTATTTTTTTTTTATTTCTCAACAGTAAAAACATTTTATTTCTAAGAAAAAGAATAAAAGAATCCCTTTTGAAGAAAAAAAGGAAAAAAGGCATTTCTTTAATTTTATGATTATAATCTATTTTTTAAGAGAAAAAAATACAATAAATAATATATAAGTAATTATATTCAATATAATATAATATCGTATTACTTTTTATGCTTAAATAATGAAATTCTTTTTAAAAAGAAGTACTTTTTTCCGATTATCAATCTTTAAAGTAGGTTCGAAGTCAAATCTATTCAAAACATGATCAAATGTTAAATATAAATATATCTACCGACAAAATTTTAAACTTTAACTATCTTTGCCGACAAAACTTTAAACTTTATTTGCCGTTTTAATAGTTTAGTATTTTTGAAACTAACGGCGTTGATACTAAAAGAAATACATAAAAACATCAACTTTTTTTTGTAAAGATATGAAAAATTACAAAAACGGTCATCACAGTTTGAGATCTAGATCTGCATACTTCTATTTTAACTAAACTATAATTTTGTCTTAGGTTCAAAATGAATTCTATTCAACTTTAAATTAGGTTTGAAGTGAATTATATTGAAAATACGATCAAATACTAAATATAAATATATCTGTCGACAAAATTTTTAACTTTAAATGTCTCTACCAACAAAACTTTAAACTTTATTTGTCATTTTGAATAGTCTAATATTTTTAAAGCTAGCCATGTTGATACTAAAAAGAGATACATAAAACATCAACTTTCTTTTGTAAAGATATGAAAGATTATAAAAAATTATTATTATGGGTTGAAACTTAGGTCTACATGTTTCTATTTTAATTAAACTATAATTCTATCTTAGGTCCAAAGTCAATTCCATCCAACATTAAATTAGGTTCGAATTGAATTAAAACTCAATCAAATAATAAATATAAAATATATCTATCGACAAAATTTTAAACTTTAAATATCTCTGATGACAAAACTTTAAACTTTATTTGTCATTTTAATAGTTTAGTATTTTTAAAACTAACCATGTTGGTACTAAAAAGAAGTACATAAAACATCAACTTTCTTTTTAAAAGACATGAAATATTTCAAAATTGGTCAATGAGAATAAAAATCTAGGTTCACATGCTTCTATTTTAATTTTAACTAAACTATAATATTCTATCTTAGGTTCGAAGTCAATTCTATTCAACTTAAAATTGAGTTTGATGTTAATTCTATTGAAAAACATGATCAAATACTAAATATAATATATCTATTGATAAAATTTCAAACTTTAAATATCTTTGTCAACAAAAATTTAAACTTTAATTTTCCTTTTTAATAGTATGATACCTTCCAAACTAATAATGTTGGTGCTAAAAGGAAGGTCATAAAACATCAATTTATTTTTTACAAAGATAAAAAATATTATAAAGATGATTGCTCGTAATCGAAACCTAAGTCTCTATAATTCTATTTTAATTAAACTATAATCCTTTTGATTTTGAACACAAATAAAAAAAATACATGGGTCTTAGTCATCTCTAATATTTTTTTTTCAAAGTTCTATTGAATGATAATTCTTTTTTTTTTTAAATGAAATCTGTGTAGTTAAATAATGTTAACTAACTCAATTAATTAGCAAAAATTAATTTTTTTTCTTTTTTATATATAAATATATATGATATTATAGGATTAACTTTTAATCTACTATACATGGACAAGGTATTTACTTTATTAATATATGATACCGGATTAATTTATTTTTTAAATAAAATCCGATTCTTCATAATCAAAATTTGAGCGTAAAATTGTTTATTTTAAAGAAAAGTGTTAAAAATGATAAGAGTGTTTAAGTTCAGTTATTATTATTTTTTATATCTCTAACAGTGTGGTCTCAAGATAAAAATAATCTTATTCCTCAACATATTATTAAAATGCCCTTTTTTTTTATAACAAAATTGACAATGCCGTAACTAAATGACAGTGTAAACAATGCAACACCATTTAAAAATATGTGAAGTCTTTTCATTTTAATCACGCATTGCAGGTGAATGCGTGAATTTGATCCAGAAGAAGAGATCACAGTATGGTTGCTACAGTGGCAATGTGCAGTAGTAGCAGGGGGAAGCATGAGCCGAGGACAAATGGGAAAAAGGGTAACGAGAAAAACAAAGGGAAACACATCTGAACAAATAATGAGAAAATTCAAATATAAAAAAAAATATATATATATATAAATTCTTGGGCAAGCGCGTGAGCGAAAACGCCAATGCGAAACACTGAAACTCTGCGAGGGTCAATTTCAGGGGTGCACGCATTCCCGTACCCTGAAACGGACTGACGTAAGGTAGGACCCGCAATGAGTGGCGGCGCGTGAGAAGCGCGTGGGTGATGGGACAGAGGTGGGGGTTTTGTTTCGTTCCCACATAGGAGGTAACAAGTGGGGGAAGAGTGAGGATGTTTGGTGGCAGGACCCTGGTTATGGTCGTACCATCAGGTTGAAACTTGATACAAGAGAGAGAATATGTGCGCTGTTGAGAAAATATGTACAATAATAAATCAAATTATAAATCTTAATTTTTCTATATTTAACTAAAATATATTTACCTCTTCTCACAACATAGCTTATATTTTTAACCTATTTTGTTGTCCAATAAAATTTATATGAAATATATTAGAAAAAATTTAAGTTTATTTTCTTACTGTTCAGACTTTTGTAAAGTTTATTTAATAATAAAAATATGTAATAAGAACAAACGTTTGTTAACATTTATATAAAATTGTGTCAACTAATAGAATGGTGACCACATAAAGAATAATAGAAGTTCACAAAGCATAAATTAGTTAAATAGAAATATAAATAAGTTGTGTCAAAACGCGGGAACGTTTAAATTTGAAATTCAACTTGTGAAAAAATGAATTTAACTTATTGAATTAAAATAGTTAAATTAAAACTTAAATTTGTTTGGTTTATAATGTAAAATATGAATTTATTTCCTTTCGTGACTTGATTTTGTATAATTATTTGTTAATTATAATAATTAAGTATTTAAAAAATATTAACATAATTTTATATTTCGTAAATATCACTCAATATTAAAAGAGAACATATATGATGGAACTAAAAGAATCTTTTCAAAGAAACCTATAGTTTCAAAAAAAAAATTCTTTATAGACATGATTCATAACTAATAAATATGTGTTTGGGATGAGTGTGATTTATGTTGATCAAATATTATTTTAATAAAGACATAAATTAAAATTGAAAATATTGAGTTGATTCTGTATTTTAGAATATATTTTATAATTATTAAATCAAGAGATAAGTTTATGTTCTTAATTTAAAAAAAAATTGTCTCTTAATAGAAAAATTAATAAATAAAATGTTTAATTTAAAATAATATAAATAAAGTTGTTTAAAATTATGCATTATTCATATTAAAAAAATTATTAATCAATCCATAAAAAATTATGATTATTATTAACTTTAATTAGGTGTATTTTACATATATGTTTTTTTTAATATAATTTATCTGTATGTTGTTCTTTTATACTTGCTATTTTATTTTTATTCTGTACAATATATTTAGTTTTCCTTTTAGGCTTTATAATAACTTGTATATTTTGAATTAGTTTCTTTATATAAAAAAATTGGTAGGAATTATTAGAAATTTATTCTCATATTACAAAGCAAGAAAAATATTATAAAAACTAAAATAAATAAAAAAGGTACAAAATGAAAAAAAAAAGTTTACAAAAATTATTTTAGAAAAATAATTTTATAAAGTATCAAAACTAAAAATGCAGTCTATTATAAAGATAAAAAAAAATATATTAGACCTATTTATTATAATTTTTTATTTATCATATGTGACAATTTTTAAATTAAATACAAATATAAAATATATTCACTGTAACCTTCCAAAACCCTAATTCATATCTTATATTACATTTCTAGATATTTTTAGTTAGTATTATAAGAGTAATCATTATATTTTATTCTTAAATATTAAAATCAGAATTTTGAGAGATGCTTAATCGATATTTTTAATTATTTATTGGAGCACGGAGTCCGAAAAGGTGAAAAATGATGCCTTTACTCCTGTGTGTTTGTATGAAAAACCTGACATAAGAAAAAGACTCGTAAGACAATAAAATGTGATTTTGAATTTAGAAACATGCTATATACCTTGAAATATATTTTTCATATGTTTCTATGAAGTTTCTAAAATTAAAAAACATCAAAATACTCCTGCTTATTTGTTTTACTAAAATCAGTATAAATTTTACTGCTAAAAATGATAATAAAAAAATAAAAAAACTCGATATATATATATATATATTAATAGAATTCTTGGGAAAATTTTAGAATTTTATGAATCAAAATAAAATTTATATGATTTTTTTTCAAAAGGTCAAAATAAATCATAACAAATTTGTTACAATAATAAATAAAACTAAACAGATGAACATTTATATATATATATATATATATATATCGGTCAAGCTTGAATGATACAAAAGATCATG